TCTGGCTCAGAACGGCTTCCAGATTCAGACAAAATCATCCAGAACAGTGACTAGGCCGATTGGGCCGAAGTGGGTGGGCTGGGCATGAGGCTGTAGGCCTGGGTCCACGCCGTTTCATATTTGAATTTTAAGGACCTGCGGCCCCCACGCCGTTTCAAAATATTTTGGACCACGGCCACCTACCGGTTCCCAGGAAAATGCCACAGGCAAATACCGGTTCTGCATTTGCTTGAACTGCCGTCCCCCCCTAAATGCCCGTGCCTTTCATTTTACCAGCCTTTCAACGACCAATGGGCCCGAATGAACGACCGGTATAACGAACAACGACGAAAAATGTCTCACGGGCATAAAACGCAACCCTGACGGGCTGCGAACACAACTACTAAAAAGACACGGAACTATTGAAGGTTTAATGAACTTTAATCCTCCTAGCCACCTTAATCCCTAAGCCCCAGCGCACCCCTGCTAACTACCCTATCACCCCTAAACCCTAGACCCTACCCTACCTTAAAATCTAGACCCTATCCTATCTTAAACCCTAGACCCTATCCTACCTTAAACCCTAGACCCTACCCTACCTTAAACCCTAAACTCTACTCTCCCTGCTATCTAACTCGTACTACTCAATGGAGGTGGGCAGGATTTAGAGTAGTGCTCGTTAGATAGCAGGTAGAGTAGGATTTAGGGTTCAAAGCACCAGTACACCATACACTCAAAAATAGGCCTACATTACCCAGCACTAGTACTACCCAAAATAGGCCCGCGGGTGTCAGTGTGGAACCCGCACCACCCCGGAGGCCGCAGATTTTTTTGTTTTCAACGACGCCCCATGCCGCGAGGCCCCTCCAAGTTTTGTTTGTGGCGACAAAAACTTTCTGTAAGGTTGGCGCTGTGTACAAGCGGTTTAAGGTAGTGTGGGGTCTAGGTAGGGTTTAGGGGTGATACGGTAGTTAGCAGAGGTGGACTAGGGTTTAGGGATTAAGGTGGATAGGAGGAATTAAACCTTCAATATCAGTAGAAGTTTAGTTCCATATCCTCTTAATAGTTGTGTTCGCTTTACCCCTATCCTTCTCCAGTTTTCCTTCTTTTGGAGTTGTGCAGAATGGGACGCTGGACCCGGTTTCCAGCCAATCCGAAGCTGGGTAACGAATCGAGGGTAACAAATCCAGGGTAATGAATCCAGAATTTCTAGTGGTTCATAATTTTGGGGCTGGAAGACAGGGTGCAGAGGAACAGTACCAGAAGGAGGTCAAGCATGTCCCCGACGCAAGTGAAATCCCCATCAACATAAGCATCTGCAATTCCTAAATCAGCTCTTGTTGCAACCTGCGATTCGCCCACAAAGAAGAATGGATGTTGTTGTGCGAGGCTGTGAGCATTTGCTGCAAAAGGCACAACGACAACATGAAGGAATCTTTTGGCAAAACGAAAGTCCAAAACAAAGATAAAGCCACAAGGCCCACAACTGCAAAAAATAAATAAAAAGCAAGTCACAACTGCCAGCCATCTCATATGAAAGGTCTCTTCCTAGATCAGCTCATGCACCCACCCACACACACA